CCATTTAACCTTTCTGCTTTCCCGCATGCCTTTCAATTCTGATTATTTTTCTAAGCCACATTATACATAATATTCTTGGCCAATCAAAATAAATTTTTTTAAATAAAATGAAATGTCTAATAATTCAAATTTATTTGCAGGTTTTGATTTATCAACACAACAATTAAAATTCACAGCAATCAATGAAATCGGCAAAGTGGTATTTGAAGAATTAGTTAATTTTGATAAAGAATTACCAAGTTATGGGTTATTATCATACTATCATTATTGTATAAATTGATTAATTTTTATAAAAATAAACCATAATGATTATCAGTTATTATTAATTTTCTTTTAGAACAAAAAATGGTGTAATATCAAATGAGAATGTTGTTATTTGCCCTACATTAATGTGGATTGAATCAATTGATTTATTGTTGAATAAACTATCTGAAAAAAAATTTCCATTTCATCAAATAAAAGCAATGTCTGGAGCTGCTCAAGTGAGTAAGATCCCTTCCTTCCCCCTCCTTTTTAATTGATCAATTGTCTATTTATTGTCATTCCTCTGACAAAAAAATATTTTATAATTAAAATTATTAGCAACATGGAAGTGTTTATTGGTCAGAAAATTCTTTGGGAATTTTAGAAAATTTGAATCCAACTGAAATTTTGGTTTCACAATTTATAAATGCCTTTTCTATACCAGATTCACCAACTTGGCAAGATTCAAGTACCACAGAACAATGTAAGAATTTAGAAAAATTAATTGGTGGTAAAGAAATTTTGGTGAATTTATCAGGATCAATAGCTTATGAAAGATTCACAGGAAATCAAATTACCAAAGTATACTCGCTTTTTTTTTTAAAAAAAAAAAAAATAAATCAAAAAATAAAATTAACTTGTATAATAATGTAAATTTTTATTTTAGTTTAGCCAAACAAATCCTTTGGCATATTCAAAAACCAAAAGAATATCTTTAATTAGCTCATTCCTTGCCTCGATATTCCTTGGTAGATTTGCACCAATTGATATAGCTGACGGATCAGGAATGAACTTGCTTGATATAAACAATAAACAATGGAATGATGAATTATTAAAAATCTGTGGAAATGGTGATGGGGAAAAATTAAAAATTGAAACTTGGCGAGCCTGAACCTAATGGATTAAAAATTTTGGGAAATGTTTCCAATTATTTTGTAAAAAAATATGGATTTGATAAAGGTATGATATATATATATACATACATGCATACACACACATATATATATATAAACATGTATGCATTTGATGTGAGTGATTATTTTTTTTAAAAAAAAAAATAGATTGTAGAATCATTCCATTTACAGGTGATAATCCAGCCACTCTTATATCTATGAATCTTACTCCTGGAGATATATTAATATCATTAGGAACATCAGATACAATTTTATTGTACACAAATAAACCATCACCAACAATCGAATCACACACACTATGTCATCCAACAAATCCATCAGCTTATATGTCAATGATATGCTATAAGAATGGAAGTTTAACA